TTACAGGTTCTAGACCTGGAAGGGTGGGTTTGCAGTAGAGTAAACTGCCAGTGATGTTCCCTTTCTGACAAGCGTATATCTGTGTATCTTAAATACCCCACAAAGAGACATGCTTGTGTGAGATCATTTCCCCCAGTGCTGTTAAAGGAACATTCTTTGTGGTAGAGGTGTTTTTGTTTTCCCCAGAAATGATTTTAAGATGTTCCTTCTTCCCATCAAGAAACTTCCGAATGAGTGATATTTGATTTGACTCACGGTGCTTTGGGAAATGAAACACAGCTGTCTGTAAAGATTCAGAACTCACACTTTAGATAATGGACCTGAAGCTGCCCTAAGGGTTCTTCTCAGGGCTGTCTGAAGCACAGAGCTCCATGCTGGGTGCTTACTGAGGTCCCTAGGTGCTGAGGGTGGGGACAGCAGCTCTCAGCTGTGGCTGTGGACCCGAGGCTCCAGGAAAAGTCTTCCTGTTCACCTGTTGTTGTTGTTGTTGTTGTTTTGTTTTGTTTTGTTTTTTCTGGCTATAAAATGAAATTCTTTAAAGCTCTCCTGAAGATAGGAGAGCTGAAATTTTCTGAGAGGGCAACAGGCAAGGTTGTAACATCCAGATACTTTAACTGACAAATGAAATGACTGCCGGCAAAATGAATGGCATCTGACTGGGGGGAAGATAAAGCTTCAGACATATTAAAGTGGAGAGAGAGAGAGAGAGAGAGAGAGAGGAGAGAGAGAGAGAGAGACTGAGAGAGAGACTCGCTTGTTTGTTTCACCTTGTCAGGTTAGTATTATTTTTCCCGGAGGTCTGACTTTGAATACTAGTGCAGGAAAAATTCAGTATGTATTTAATGCCATGTCCTTGCTTGTTAGCTGAATACTTAAAATGAAATAAAACCGCGTGAGTGCCTGATTCTAGGAAGATATCACCTTGAGACAAAAACTAGCCTGAAAAATGAGCATTGCTTTGAACTATGGAGTATGGAATCTTACTCCTCCTCCTGCTTCATCCAGCCAGGCTGATCTCTCGTAGAATCAATAAAGTCCCCCTTGTGTTGGGATAACAAGCAGTCTCCTTCCTTTGGAGATCACGCTGAAGACTTGGGAAAAGATTCTCTCTTCTCCTCTCTCCGTACCTTCCCAACACATAGCTGTACCCCATCATTTACCTATAAACCCACTTATCTCATTCCAAGAGTTTCTTATAGTCGTGGGTTTAAAACACTGATTTTCCTGGGGCTTAACAGGATCATCATGTCACTCTCTTCTTGGGCTCTTTAGAGCTGAGGATAAAATCACCATCAGGGTGCTTTTTCAAACTTCATCCTGGAAAGTCAGTCAGAGCTTGGCAAAAGAATTCTGCAAACGGCTTCCAACTTCACTTGTAAGTCACTAAGATATTCAACCTCAGATTACCTGTCCTGTTGTAATTGAACCTTGTGTTCAGTTCCACAGTGGATAACTAAGGGATTTGTTCAGTGCCACTGTTGGATGATGCCTAGATTGTTTTACAGGGTAAATTTTTTTTTTTTTGTACTGGGGCTCGAACTTGGGACCTAGCGCTTAAGAGGCAGGTGGCAGGAACACTGAGCTAAATCCCAGGCTAGATTGTTTTACAGTGGACAAAGCTGATTCGGACCGTGATTGGTCATGGCCAGGAGCCATCCACACTGGAGTTTCCACTCTGCTCAACTGGAACTCGTGCCATATGAGATATTGGTGTTAATATTTTGGCTATCACCCACACTGTACATGTGAGTATACAACACAGTGCTCCAGAATTATTCCTACTTAATGGTTACATTGGTTTCTGATCATATCCACACTTGCCATCAGGAAGTCTGATGAAGTTTTCTTTTCTAACGAGGTTTTTGGTAATGTTTCCTTTTAAAAGTTACTGATAAAATGTAATTCCTGACTGTTCCTCCGCATATCACCATTTTAAAAACACTCCTGCAGACAGCCAAGGTAGGGCTGCTGCTTTAAGAGAAATCTATCCAACTTTCTATTTATTGAAATTAACTTTATGTTTTTCTTTCATTTATATTATTGATGTTTCTAGAGGTTCTGTGCTCCCTAGAGTCTTGATATCTCTGTTTATTCTCTTACCAGAAGGGGGAGGTTCCTGCTGTGTGTGAATTGGGTTCTCCAGATCAGGATGTTACCTGAAGGTGAATAAAAAGGAAAGGGAGAAGGAGAGTAGTGACAAGTCTGGTTAGACGTATTGTTCGGCCCCATGGAGTTCTAGACACTTGGACTCTTACTTTATCTGGAGTTAGTAAGAGTAATGACAGCTGTACCCACCACCTGTGTCGCTTTTGCAGCGTGCACATGTGAGTGCTGGGGTGGGATTTGCTTTGGTGTCTGCTTTGGTGGTCGCTGCGTTGTGTGGCCACTTGCCGGTTTGGTCAGCCATGTGTTGCGGCTGAATCCTTCTGGTGCTCTGTGCTGAGCTGCGCCTTCCTCTTTATTAAGCCCTAGGTTGTGGAGCACAGAGTGGTCGAGGCTTTATGGTGGGTCTGCGCTGCATTTCTGCAAAACCTCCATCGGGTGGCTGCTTGTGCCCTTCGTGGACGGTATATGGCTCCACGGTGACCTCGGGACAGCCCTGAGTACCTGAGCCACGGGCTGGAGCCCCAGGGCACCTGGACTGGGCCTGCGTGCACAGCCCCCAGGAGAGGACGTGGGGGACAGCTCCAGGGAGGGGATGCCAGAAGGTGTCACAGTTGGTTCAGAGAAGGACGAACAGACCAGCCTTTCTGGTTGCAGTTCTGTGTGTGGGCTGGAAGGGGAGCAAACTGTGACTGGGAGGAAGGAACCTACTGGCACCCCCCCTGGGGTCCCCGGAAACACTCGGCCCCTCAGGGAGTTGAGAGGCCACGCTCAGTGGTGCTCAGGAAATGTACCCGGAGGTCCCCATTTTGTTTTATTTATTTGTATATCTTGTTTATACTTCTTTTTTTTTTTTTTTTTTTTTTTTTTT